TCACAGAACTAGAGCTCGCTGCTCTGTGTCACATGCTATGATGCATGTGGTATGAGCCGCAGTGCATGGCCCTTTGTTTTAGAAAAATTGATTGTTCATTCTTTAAGTCATGAAATTATATTTATGCTTTTATTAGCCCTCTTATTTGAACATACTTCTTACAAAGTCAGGATCCTGCATTTTGAAAACAAATAAAGGGCTACTACCATGATATTGTCTTGTTATTGTGTGCTCATGTGTGTTAGAATTGATAAAGTTTGGATTACACAGGAGACTTTACAAGGCACATGGTTGAAGAAGGGTATGTCTTTTTGCTGAAGCTCTTAATAGTCCTCTGGCTTGAGGGACTTAGGGTCTAAACATTCTCAATCAAGGAGTATTACTTTATGTCAATTATGGCATATTTTGCTGACATGGCTTTATCTAGCATCTTTAGTCATATTGTGTTGCTTGACATACATTTTGTTAGTCTATTAACTTGCTAATTTGGCAAAGAAGCATAGTAGCAACAAAAAAAAAACGACTTGTTTTACTAGGTGGAATTGGATATTGCATGGTGCCATTGTGCTCTATCATGAGAACACTATGGCACATACAATGGTAGTAGTTGATGATATGAGATATACTGTCTAGTCTTATATTTTGATCATTTTATCTTAACCGACTACTCTATCAACTACTAACATTATTGGCAAAAAAAAAAAGAAAAAACTTTTACCATTATTCTTGTAATAGCTTTATGCTATATATTTACTTCAAGCCTGTTAGAGTGCTGCTAGACAAAGTCACAATAGTATCTAAAATCTAGAATGATGCTCGAGTTGTTATATGATGGGATTTTAATTGTACGCCAAAGGTTATCTTTTCCAATTTTTTTCTTTTGGAATGTGTGAGAAATGCTACTTCCACAATTATGACCTTAGAGTCGAAGGGCTTCCGTCTAAGTAAGAATAAAATAAAATATTTGCATTATAATTTTGATAAGAGGTTAGATTAGGAGATTAAACTATACTTCAAGTAAACAAATTTAAATATTTGGGAGTTATTATTTAATAAGATAGAGAAATTGATGGGGATGTTGCATATAAAATACAAGCTAGGCGATTGAATTGAAAAAATATTAAATGAGTTATTTGTGATTAAAAGGTATCTAATAAACTTAAATAACAGTTTTATTGAATTATTATAAGATCAATTATGTTATATAATAATGAATGTCAGGTTTTAAAGGGACAATAGAAGTATAAAGTTGTAGTAGTAAAAATGAAAATGTTGAAATAGATATATGAGCATCTATGAAGAAAAGATAAAATTCAAAACGAATATATACGAGAAAAAGTGAGCGCAGCATCTATTGAAGAGAAAATGATAGAAGACCATTTGAGATGGTTTGGATATGTATAAAAAAAAGTTATGGGAGGCACCGATGAGGAAAATGGAATGGATAATCTTGAATTATGTAAAAAAAAAGGTAGGAAAAAATTAAAGAGAATACTTATGTAAATTATTGAACAAGACATCTTAGTTTATAATATTTCTAAAACCTTGTTTGATGACAGAGTACAAAAACATCATGCAATTTACATTGTTAACTATACCTAATGGAACGACGTTTGTTTTGTTGTGGTTGTTGTGTCAAACTCTATTATACAACTTTATTTCGGAACAAAAAGGTATACTCATGGTCCTTTGCTCTCTGTATTCAGGTTTTATGATTGACACAGATTAAGCTACAAAAATAATTTAACTTTTCAGCAACTTTGATTGATTTCATCAAGCTACTATCTAACCTTAATATAGTGATTGCTTGGCGGAAACTTTGGTCATGGAAGCAGAGAAAGATCAAGATATATATTGTGCTAGTTCATGCAGAAATTGCAATGGAACCATCATTTCAACTGTTTCGAGAAACAATGCCAGATATTGTGGAGCGCATATATATATATATATATATATATATTACATATTGGTGGAAATATATAAAATGCTTTTAAATTTTAACTGCCTGTTCAAAATAAAAATTAAGAAAAGTAGTTAATTAAAAGTGATTTGTATCACTCAATAAGTGAAAAATAGCACTACTTTCCAAGATTACCCTCCAATAAAAAAAAATCTATCTTAATTACCTTTAATTTTTTTTTATACAAACTCTCTCTACAATAAACTAATGAGAGTATTTGTAATAATGAAAGATTTTATGCTATTGATTTTTTTATAAAGTGTTCAACATTTTAGACAAACACCAGCGGATAGAAAATGTTTTATATTTTAAATCAAAATAGTAGTCACTTTGCATAAAAAAGTAAAGCATTAATTAGTTTTTTCCAAAATCACTCCTATTATAGCTTTCTAAGATTTTTCTATTTAAAATTCATCTTAATTTCATTTTACTTCTTAGATCATTTCAAAGATTTAATTACATCTCTTTGATTTTATGAGGTGGTTAAAAGTACTATATTTTTCTTACCAACATTATTAATTTTTTATACCCATTACAATAATTGTTGGTAATAGATATGGGGCTAAAGCCCAAAAGAAGCAAAAAAAAAAAAAAAAACAAGCCAACCCCTTTCAAACCCAAATTAAAAACAACCTACAACAACGTAAGCCTTCAGGCGAATCAAAATTCAGATTCTGCCTCCACAACACGACAACAACCAACCTTACTAATGAGAGTTTAGTTTAACAGAGGGTCAATCCTCATGGCCCGATAAATTAAAGTTTAAATTTTTGTGGAGAAAAATGCTCAGATATTTAGTATCTGATTATATTTTGAATGAGACTGTTCTCACTTAATGAGAGAATATTTATGAGTGAAAAAAAAAAAACACCTTTCATGCAAAGCCCCAAGCGCGGCGAATTCCCATTATAATTCCTCACACTAATACACTACATCCAATACCCATATTATAATTTTTGTTTTTGGTAAATATATGATAGGAAAGAATCCTTATTTGAATAATATAATTGTAAATTGGGATGGTTATTTTTTAAATTAAAAACAAAAAGGTATAAATGAGTGAAGGGTGAGTTGAGGATTTACTCATGTCAATGTACACCTCATGGTTCAAGAAACAGGTACTCCCTTTCCTAAAAAATATAAATTATTTTTAATTAAATCTTATTTTTTAATAAAATAGTTAATTATTTTTATACTAATACTTCCTCTGTCTCAAATTATAAGGTATTTTTGAGAGAGATTTATCATTTCAAAATACAAGACATTTTGAGAATATTAAAAATTTATTGTATAGGCTTATTTCAATATTATTCTTCCTTTCTCTATTTAACACTCCCTTTGTTTCTATTCAATTTGTAGGCGATATCACACAATTTAAGAAAATCGATTAATTATATTAATTGTATCTAAAATAAAAGAATTAGACTATAATACACTTTATTAATTATATTAATCAAGCCTTTATTAATTATTTTTTATGATTATGAATGATAAAATTATAAGAGATAGTTTGAAAAGTTTGCAATAAATGTTTATTGAAAAATATGATCTTGCTTATATAAAAAACAAGCTAAAATCGGTAGTTTTTCTTATAAATGAAAATAAAGGGAGTACTAATGAAGTGTAAATTCAAGGTTATTAAATGAAGGGTATTTTTAAAAGTTTATATTTTTATTATCAAAAAATAAAATTGTTAAGTGTAGTTAATGAGATTTTGGTAAAAAAAAGTATATTTAATGAGGTTTAATAAAAAAATAAAGTTGTTAAGTATATTTAAAATTATTTTATAATTTAAAATGAATATAGTATTATTTTTTATATTTATCCCTATTTAATAGGATGTTTCGCTTTAAAATAGATATAAAATAATTATTTATTTATTATAGACACTTTTTAAAAAAATCACAATACTTACACATTGAAACATTAAAGATGCTTTATGTATTTTAATATCTAATTTTTTTTAAAAACCTTACATTTTAAACTTTTTAAAAGGAGGGAGTAATTAATATTGGTTAGTAAGATAATACTGTAATAATCAGCAAGACGGAGATTGATTAATGGGAGTAAAGTGATTAGTAACGAAACCCCAGAGATCTCTCTCCCATCCTCTATAAAAAAAAATAAGGACTGGTCTGGATTATAAATGTTGAGTTAAAATATCTAATAATTTTTCATTCATACGAGCAATATAATCTAACATTTTTCTTAATTTACACCGAAAATATTCAAAATACCTCATATAAGAAAATCAGGAGAATAAATATACACATAAAAACGTAGAAAAGGCGAAGAAAAAGGAGGAAATGGAGGGTGCCTCGGAACGTGTTGAGACTTGAGACATCGATCTGAAGCAGCAGAGAAAACAAACAAAAAAGAAAGATCAAAAGGCACGTAAAAGCCAATTGTGTGTGTGTCTCTGTGTTCCTCTGGTCGGCTCTTAACAGTTAACTCTATTCCTCCTGGTGGCGGCATTCGGCGCCGCCTGTTTCTTCCTTCTCATCTCTCTCTCTCTCTCTCTCAAAACCCAGAAAGCGACACAAAGTGAACCTACCCACACACAACACAATAGATCATCGCAAAGGCAAATTAAAAGCAAAACATCCCATGCGCGTAATGGTCACGTCAGACTTATAAAAGCAACATTCATCTCTTCCTTTTTACTTCCTTCTTCTCCGACAAGAAGGACGCCTAGCTTAGCTTCCCACATTCTCCATTCATCTTTTTGTCTCTTCTTTTTTCTCTCTCCTTCTGCTTCTTCTTTTTCCTCTCTTTATAACACCACACCACAAACTTTCCTTCCATTTCACAGATTTGTTTCCAAACATAGGAATATAGCATAGCTTTCTATGACCCTGTCCCCAGAGCTAGCTCCAAGCACGCCCCGCGACAGCAACAGAGAACTAGTTAATTACCTATTTATCCTCATCCTCTCTTGTCTCTCTGCCTAATATATATATATATATATGTATCATCCACATTCAGTCCCAGCTACTCGATCACTCAACACACAGAGCGCTTGGAGTTAGAGAAGCGATAATTTAGAAGATGGAATATGAGATGGGAGAGAGATGGGGGTACTACGGGTGGTCACCGGAGGGGATGGAGAGAGTGGTGAGGATGGCGTCGGAGAGCGCGGTGGTGGTGTTCAGCCGGAGCGGTTGCTGTATGTGCCACGCCGTGAAGAGGCTCTTGTGTGGCATGGGAGTGAACCCTAGAGTGTACGAGCTGGATCGTCATCCCTTCGGCAAAGACATGGAGCGAGCTCTCATCACTCTGCTCCGTTCCTCCTCCTTCTCCGTCTCCGCCTCTGCCGCCTCTACTCTTCCCGTCGTCTTCATTGGCGGCAACCTCGTCGGAGCCATCGACAGCGTCCTTGCTTCCCATATTAATGGCTCCCTCGTCCCTCTTCTCAAGCAAGCCGGTGCTTTATGGCTTTGATTAATTCTAGTTAATTGATAATCTTCCTAATTTCTTTTCTAAATATATGAACAAGATTCTCTTCTGAATCTTTCTTGGAACTTTATGAATCAGGTTGTGTAGTTCCAATTTTGTTTGTTTTAACTCAAATACTGCATGTAATAATGATCCTCTTTGCATTGCATGAGCACCTACGTACGTAGTTTGATAATGAACAACGTTGTTATTCAACGCATCATTAGATCTAGTTATTAATAATTAACATGTAAGAGCTTCATTTCAGTCGGTCCCTTTTGTAATTTAATAAATGGATTATCAATTGAATTGATAAAAAATTAATTAATTCATGGAAATATGAAAGTAAACCTTCCATATTTAGTATACGAACCTTTGAGTTAATTCCTTCAAAACTTCACGTCAATCCATGTATAAATATTGCTCAACCCCTTTCTCTCTCTAGCTGTCAAATTTGTCGAATTTTAATTTTTTTTCCCTTGGGCATCAAATATTTGTAGATCATTCAATGAAGAAATTACCGATCATTTTACGTTATAATTAACACACACACATGCATGATTTTTTTATGGTCAGAGCAAATCTTTTCCTTTCAAGCCCTTTCAAAACAAGAACATAATATATTTGAGTTTAAATTTGTGAATAATCAGGATGGGCCACAAATATATCATGGTAAAAGAAGAGAGAGAATAACAATGGGAAACCTTACAAGAGAATTATATGATTCTCCTATAAAGATTTAAATCATCTAAAATTAAGATCTGAAAATTTATGTTACGTTCGCCTTTTAAAAAGAAAAAGAAAAAGAAGATATTATATTTTATAAAAAAAATACTAAAAAAAAATCTTTATAAAAATTCACATGTATCAATTTTAGAGGATTTAAATCCCTCTGATAAAATAAAGACATGTATACAATTCAAACTTTTATATTCACAACTTAAACTTAAAGATCCTTATTTTGTATTAGTCTTTTTACATGTTCTTCAATTTTCATTTTCCAAAGAAAAAGTGATATAGTAACATAGAAACCAAAACAATGGATATCTGACTTTATGAACAATCAAATTGCTTTTTTGGTAGATTTGTGCTAATTCGCACACAATCTAAAATGTTACATATTGTTGATATGTAACTTGCCAGTAAATACAGTATCATGATTTTTTTGGCTAAATTTATATTATATTCCTCTGTTAAAAAGGTAAAGCATTTTTAATATTTTAAGGTGGAAATAATATATTTTTTTATATATATATTTTTTCAAAATGCCCTCAATAAATGAATCATTTTATACTTATAACTGAATCATAAAGTGATTGAATCAACCTCCAGATTTACTTAGGTAAAAGACTTTTATTGACCATATAAATAGGTATGAGTCGCATACCAATCGAGTATTTGGATAAAAATATGAGATCTTTATTTGCTCACTGCATCTTTTTCTTGCCATCTTTTATCAATAGCTTCCTTAATTTGATTATACAAAATAGATTTATCTTTGCCTAAATCAACCCATGTCCCAAAATATTTCCCAGGATTGTCAGCTAAAGGAAAACCAAGATAATTAGCCCATTCTTCTTTAAGGATGTGACAAGTATTACAGCTCACAATAAAAAGATTTAGCATGATTAATCTCTTGACCAGAAATGAGGCAAAATTTCTCCAAAATATTCTTAAGGGATTCCAAGTCTGTCCTTGTACATTCAAAGAATAATAAGGAATCATCCACATAAACAAGATGATTGTAACATCCTAAAAATTAACCTTAAATTAATTTAATTAAGTAAGAATAAATAAGTAATTTTAAATGTAATTAGGTGTGTAGATGGTTAGAGACGACTAATGAGCCTATTAGGTTGTGCTTACCGCCTTTGGATTAGGTTTGAAGTAGAGTTGGGCCACTTGAGCTTGATTAGGGGAAAAAAATGTGGATTGCAATTCATTGTACCATCTGCTGTGCTGCATGTGCCATAGCACATGACCTTAAAATGAGAGTAACTCTCTCTATGCCATTTGCCACTCTATGTAATATTCTAATTTTTCACATTAATTTTTTACAAATTTATAAATCATTAACTCGACTAATTATATTAAATACTTACTATGATAGAAAAGTGTCTATCATGGTAATAAAAGATAAAAATTACTTTTCTAAAACCCTACCATGGTAGAAAAGAAGTTGCCATGCTAAAAAAATTAAAACCATTTATCATGAAACACACCATCATAGAAAATGTTTTTTCTTACATTAAAATATTTCACAAATTGACTACCATGATAGAAAAGGATCTACCATGGTAGAAAGAATCAAACATAGTCAAATCACTTTACCATAGTAATTTAGGAAAGGTTAAAATTAAAAAAAAGAAAAATTAATCTTTTAATCCTTCAACTTTTAACTCACTTGTAACTCAGTCCCTCAACTATGACTCGCTGCGACTCAGTCCTTCAACTATAACTCGCTGCAACTCAGTCCCTCAACTTTTGGTTTACCTATAACTCGGTGCTTATTTTTTAATTTTTTTAAATTTTTTTATCAAATAAGAGGGGTAAAAAAATGCTCATATATTATTTTAAAATACCCTCTTCTTATTCATTAATGTGAGATAGAAGTTAACATAAAAAAAAATTAACAAAAGTTAAGGGACTAATTTATAAGTGATTCAAAAGTTGAGGGATTGAGTCATAGGCGAGTTATAGTTGAGGGACTGAGTCATAGTGAGTCATAGTTGAGGGACTGAATTACAAGTGACTTAAAAGTTGGAGGATTAAAAGATTAATTTTCCCTTAAAAAAAGTACCTAACAGGATCCTATTAAAAACAAATGGTAAATCATTGAATAAAACATTATAAAATTTGAATAAAGAGTGAAACATGATTTCCAAGGGGCTAATTCATCCAAAACTAAATTATAAAGGGGTAGAACAGTCAAAAGGGACCATTCTAGAAATCAATTTTTGAAACAGGGCCTTTCTAAAAAATCTAGGCCATACGTTGTGATATGCATGTCCCGTGCCATGGCACATAGTTTAGAGATGGTGCTTCTTCCTTTATGGCATGCGTCATGGCTCACAAGACATGTGCCGTGGTGCACAGTACTATATCAATGCAGTGCAAAACTATTACTAAATCTAAATTTTCAATTTGCATAACTTTTAACACACAACTTTGATTTTAATGATTTAAGTGTCTACATGAAACTTATTGTGAAATTGGTTTGGCATCAAAACTCCTTCATATGAGGATTTTGTCAACTAAAATGCAATTTGAGACAAAACATTATGTTTCCAGGCACCAAACATTGCCAAACCATAACCAAAGCTCTAGCCTATTGTATTAGACACTTGACCTACTCAAACTCACTCTAAATAAAAACTTAATGGTTACAATTTACACATGCATGTGAATTTCCATAGTTGGGTTACAACTATAAAACTTTGAGTAAGACTGGTAAGGTTACCCTTATTAATCCACCTTGAATCTCCAAAACCAAGATAACCTTAAAGGGTTTCCAAATTAATACAATTTCAACATTTGGAATTTCAATTTGTCTCAATATAAAATACTTCTAAATCCACATATTTATCAAAAATCAGAGTAAAAATCTTTATGAAAGCATGAAAATCTAAAATAAGAGTATTGTTGCATTTGTAAAGATAGAAATGATTCCAGCCCAAACTAGCATGTGCGCCGCAACATGCTGTAGATGCACTATGGCATGCCGCCTCTATGCCATGCATTGTAGTGCATTGCACAATTCTTGACAACATTTTAGTGTCATAAGACAACTCTGGGGTGAACTTTTGACACACTTTATTTTCTCGTTCGACATCTGATTGAGGTGATCTAGTTGTCTACAGAGAGCTATTTTCTAGCTTTAGCTAATGACACTGATTTCATAATTAAATTATCTATCTATCAAAAATTAGATACCCTTTATAAAATGCACTTCTTTTTCATATAAATACACAACAGGGTGCTCAAATCATAACTCAAATGCCAAAAGCCTATACCACTCTTAGATCATATTCAATGGATCGTACAGGATTCGTGCAACACACTACAACCAACAAACACACATAAATCAAAATTTCAACACTCAACCCCTTAGATAACAAAAACATAAGGGGGATATAATTTTGCATAATTCCACACGCGATTATCAACCTTAACCAATTACACAATTTTCTACTTGCACAAGTATTTTGGTCTTTTATAGACTTTACAACCCAGGGCACAAAATACACATTCAATCATTCACTAGTAGTCTAAGTAGTCAAAACAATTACATGTGGTCCTAGTTGGCAATAACTATTTAACATACACATATACAAGCTAAGATGCCTACCAGTAGGATTTTCACACAACCCTATGCCTCTAAACGTTTTTTTTTATCCTAGTCTAATGAGTTAGGCCTTGTAATATTAAAGAATGAGGGGTGAATACAATTTCTTAGTAACTAAGTCACTCTATCTTATACAATTACATATCAATTAATTATAAATGCAAATGGCAATAGTATTCATTTCAAAGTTTGTAAGATTTCCAAAGAAATGCCTTAACCACAAAACTACCAACTATGTAGCTCAGCATAACATTCATCATTTCAAAAACACATGCACATGAATACAAATATGGGGTTATAATAATAATAGCTATGCGCCCCTCATGAAAACACGTCATACCATAATAATAAGAATCATATAGCTAGAATGTGAAATGCATGATCAATACCAACCTTATACCCTCATAATATCTCCGAGATAAAACTAGGTGCAATCTGGCTAAGGAAAACCTACCCCCTTCTGATCCATGGTTTCCCCTAATACTAACAATCATAAGATGTTGTGTCTTTAATCTAGCCTCCTTATGATTCGGTAGAGACTAGTTAGCTTTGAGTCTCTCAAAAAACAAGTGAGATAGTCCCTAATCAATCATAGGATAATGGCTGTCTCTCAATTTCAATGATCGGTGCCAAGGTAAGCTTTCAATTCTAATGGTAAGCC